ATATATATATATATATATATTGTGTATTATATAATACATATAAATATTTTTTTTTCTTACTGAAAGGTATCAGCCTTCCTCAATTTATACTTACAACCCTCAACCCTCAATACCCCTTTTTTCGTTCCACTGACATGCCCTCTCTTTTTTTAACTCGTCTATATTCCAGCCTATAGATTACTGCGATTTAAACTTCTGTATATCATTACATGCACGCTAGGAATCAAACCGATACTTCTCACGCGATTATTACTATTCCAAACGTCATTACTTACGTTAACTCTTTACATCATCTATTACTTTTTTATAAATTAATTATTATTATTAAAATTTTTGGTCGTGGTTCTGATACGTGATTATGGTAACAACAAAAGTAAATTAATTACTTCTATTAATCGATTAATTAATTTGAGTATTAAATTGTCATTTATACTCGAGATATTAATTATTGAGAAATAATAATTAATATTGTTACTTTTTTTAAAATGGAATTGTTTGAAGATTTTGAAGTAAAAAACTATTTTTATTGTCAATCAATACAGCTGAATTATTTTGTCCTATTCCGATAGTATAAGCACCAGGAACGATTTCGAATGAATTGATAATTTGTTTAGTAGATAAATCATTCATAAACATTACATCGCCTGTAATTTAAATTATTAATTTGTTAAGACAGTTAAGTCGGAAGAAAAAGTCAATTTTTAAAGAAGTAAAGCCGTTTATAGATTACATAGAGATTATAATTTTATTAACACAGTAGTTTTATTTTAAGGCTCAGACATAAATTTTGTTTAATTACAAAACTTATCTATTTATTTCATACATATACCACATACTAGACAATGATAATTTAATCCTGGATAAAATTATATTCTGGATTGAAAAACTGACCCAAATTTTAAAAACTGTATTAATTTTTAATTAAAATCACCTCAAATTAAGCACAGTTAATAAAATATTGTGTTTCAACGTCTAAAAAAAGCTTATCAGCTAATATCAGAAGTTCTTAAGTCAAAAGTTCAAAAAATTTTAGAACACATTGAATAATTAATAGGGTAAATGCACCAATTATTGACCGATTAAGGTTTTCTTTTTCTGTACTAAGCTATAAAAAATCTATTAACCTACTAAAAACAATTTGTAATGGATTTTATTAAAGTTAAATACTTAATTAATAATAGTTAATAACTATTTATAATAAAAATTAACAAAATTATATTAATTTTGTTATTTGAATCTTGAAATACTAAAATCACTAATTATTGACCGAAGAAACCCAATAAATGACCGACCGTTCTCCAATTAATTGACCGCTCAAATAATTATAAGTAATTTTGTAAACTACATGTATGTAATTAAATTTATGCAGTACGTTTGAAGTATTAACGACATCTTTAACAAAACTAAACATACAATATAATTTTAAACCGTACTTTTTTATAAAATAATATAAATAATAGCAATAATTAACATAAAGTCACATTTTTTTAGGTCATAAATAATCACAAATTCATTTTGATGACGATAATTCTTCTGATTCACTTGAAATTTTTTTATTCTTCTCCTTCTTTTTTTCAATTAAAGCTTTTTTGCTAGCTTGTAACTCTTTTTTATTTTTTTAATTGCTTAGCAATTTTTTCTTCCAATGATTCGTTCTTTGATATAACCGTTCACTAAAAAAATTAGAACAAAATAAAATTTAATAATCAAAAAAGATTTTAAGTATTATTTTAATTATAAATATACATTTTATAATGATTATTTTTATATTTACAAAATATTGAATGACTAAAGTACTTTAAACACTTGACAGATTTAATTTTGGAGTTAAGAAGTTAGTATTATAATTATACGGTCATTAATTTGATTGTGATAAAATCAGAGGGTCTAATAAATGACCGAATGAATTTTTTACTGGGTAAAGGGCTTCTGACGGATCCAATAGTTGACCGGTCTTAAAATAATATTAAAACTTATAATTTAACTTTATTTTTTCAAAAAAGTTGGAATCTGATCTTTAATTAACATAATAAAACTAAAATATTTTATATTATGCCGATAAATATCACTAAATTAATGATGAAATGCTCTCACTCTCCAATTGTACGCTAGTTATTTTTGACCGCTTTATGGCTGGTTCCGTTTTAATCAAACTCAGAATATTTTTTTAAAGCTATAATCACTGCCCAATTAATTGCGTAATTTTTTATTATGATGATTAAATGCCATATTGTTTTATTTTAATACTTTAAGAAAAAAAAAACCCTTGTAAAATATTAATTAATTAACTTTTTTATACATCGGTCAGCTAATTGGTGACCGGTCAACAACTGGTGCATTTACCCTAAAATGACTTGAGATTATTTATTGAGAAATAACTTTCAGAAATTTTCTAGTTTCGAATGAATTTCAGAAATAGAAAGTACAATCGAGTACTATATCGCAATTGGTGTGAAAGAAAAATATATCTTCAGAAATAATTAAAAGAAAATAAAACTGTTATTATTGTTTATTTATTGACTTGCACTTACTAAAAAAAAAATGTAATGTTAAGTCTTGGAAATGACATTAAATCATTGGAATTTTATTTTTATTTTTTCGAGTGGAAGTGAAAAAGTATGTCTGATTAATTATGGATGTATCCACTTGATTCTCAGACGCGCTATTTTTATTCAATCGACTTTTTATTCCACTAGTTTCTATTCTATTTTATAAATATTAATAATTTTTCTGTTTTATTTATCAGCTATATTTAAGTGCTATTTGTGTTGTCTAGCTATCAGTTGTTTTAGTGTGGCTATTATCGTGGAAATATGCAATTAAATAGCGGTACATTGCTGGGGTGAAGAATGTAATGTAAGGGATGTATATATACAGTTCCGCATACATTGTGGGCGATATTAGATGGTATGAGTATGCTTGCGCAAACAATTTATATTGTTCAAGATAATTGCACACAAAATTTACATTAATTTTATTTATTGTTCTATGCAAATGCAGAAAATTTTTTTTAAAAATTAATTTTTTCTACCAGGAATAATCATAAAAAAATGATAGTTTACACTTGGAATAATTGTACACGACAAATAGACCGTTATCTAAAAAGTCACACCAAGTTCAAATGTCATTGTTGAAACTGACGATTTAACGACTGAACTTTTCACTGTAATAGCAATAGTTGTAACCTTTTATTATCCGTTTTAAATGCCGTGGAGGAGATAAAAATATTTTACACACATGCTTGATGAGTTAGATAATGATGGTCGCTACATATAATTTAATTGTTGTTATAAAATATATAATAATTATAATTAGCTGTTTAAGCCAGCTATATTTTACAATAGAATCTACTTTCAAATGACAATAATTTTCAACCTACAACCTACTGTAAATTTTCAAAAGTTTATATTGCATTGTAAAGGCACGTATTGGATAAAATATTCTTTAACTTGAATAAAAAGTTTATTTTTTTAAATCAATAATTCCCTCGTAAAAAAAGTAAAATTTATCAAAGTCATAATTTAAACTTTAACGTTTAACAACTTTTGAACGTTTATATTTATTACACTCGTAAAATTGTTGGTAAAAATATGTCCTGAATATTTCCATACTCTTCTTTAAAAGCGGATTATGTTAAATATAGATCATTTTTTATAGAATATATATTTGAATAAATAATTAAATTGAGCTGTAATTAGAAAACTAAATAGTAAAGATTAATAAAAGAAAGTACACAGAAAAAAAAATTATCTTAAATCAAGAAAATAATTTTGAAAAATTTTATTATCTTGATTTAAGTAAAAAAATTTTTAAACTAAGAAATTTTTCTTGGTTTAAGTAAATTTTACTTAATTCAAGAATTCTTCGTCCTGATTTAAGACAATAAAACTTTTCAAAATTATTCTCTTGGTTCAAGAATCTTCCTCTTGATTTAAGTTAATTTTTTTTTCAGTGTACATTTACAGAAACATTGAGTCACTGACTTCTGTAAAGACATGTTGTTATTTTATGTGATACCCTGTGCAATTAAATATTCACTTTCTTTATTCTTACAATTTTTCAGAAATTAATAGACGTTGAGAGACCTTAATATTACTGCTTTGTAAAAACTTATTTCGTAATTTGTTACTTATTTTTTATCATATTCTTACATAATACTCTGTACTTTTTTGTATTATCTTCAGACCATTAGAGGACATTGTCCTACGGTCTTGTCAATAAATTACATTACATTACATTACATTTAAAATTATTAATCTATTCCAAGAACGGAAAAGATATTTATAAATATGTCCAACTTACTTTGTAAATTAATTTCGCAACTTTTAGACATTTTGTCAACACGTAAGCAGAAAGTGTAAATTTAAACCTACACATAATTTCTCATCATATTGGTCAATACTTTTTTAAACTACTACTACTTTTACGTCTGCGTTCATCCGATCAATATTCAATATTTTGCATAAAAGTTTTTTACTAAAGATTTAGATTAAATTCTGCGGACGAAAACGTCAATCGTACTAAAAAACTTATACACAAAAATTGGGACAAGTAAATAAATTTCTTTTTAAAATATTTATTAAATTCATTCATTCATTACATTGTCATTATTTATCTTATATTATGCGTTAAATATTCTTAATTAAGTAACAATATTTAATAAAGCCTATTAATAATAAATATAATTTGTATTGATTATCATAATACTTGAAAAAAAAAAAATTACGTCAATAATTAACACTCATATAAGCTATTTTATAATTATTATTTGTATGAATAAATAATAAAAAATTTTTTTAAAAATATTATTATCATCGATGGTAAATTAGTAATAATATCGATCTTGAATAAATAAATAGATGATGGTAATTAGAGGACGGTATTATACAATAAAATAAGATCACAATATGAGTGTTCATATACGCATCATATTCTTAATCAAAATGTGCTAAAAATGTAGCATGAAAAGAATACAAAAATTATCAATATTTTATTACAAATTAAGCCGCCTCCTCCTCATCATCATCGTCTTCTGTGTTTGTTTCTTCTTCAACCCGTACATCGTTCTCCACTGGTGTGTCCAATTCGTTTACACTGTTGAAGCCTTCATGTTCTCCGTCGTAGGGCTGTTCGCTCAAATCATCGTGATCTGTCGATATACAAGCAGCTTCTTCTTCGATCTAAATTAACAAATTTTGCATATTTGAGTTCTCAATGATAGATACAATATATCATAATTTATTTTAACTTATTGCGAATTATTTCGAGCAACTGTTTAACATTAATTTAAAAATTTCGTCACATAAAATATGTGCTATTGCCACATATAATTTTATATGTAAAAAATGATGACATTTGTTGTGCAATTAGTATTGAGTGAAATCATCATATTTCTTGATACGATACTTAAAAATAAATCTTAACGACTGGATTATTTAATTATAAATATCTTGACAGTCTGAATAATTATTTATCGCTTATGTAGGCGAAAATAATTTTTTCAAGAAATAAAATTTCCATTTTATAAAATATTAAAAATGATAAAATTACATAAAGTCAATACAAAATTTTTAATTTTTAAATAATTAACAATTTGGGTTTTTTTTCATTAAAAAATTGTAAATTTTTTTTTAATTTCAAGACTCTAGAATTGTTCAAAATAAATTTACTTTTTATCAGTTTTTTACTTTTTATGATTCTTATGAATAAAAAAACATTTTTTTTTACAATCTAGTATTTAAGTACTTCTAATTTTAATTCATTAAGTTTACGTGAGTTCAATTTATAAATTTTTAAGTAATTTTGATAATAATGATACTGAAATCTGTATGAAAATTAAGTTAGCCGACATCTAAAAACTTTCAGAAATTTTTTTATTGAAAAATTATTACAAAAAGAAGAAAATAAAAAATTTCACTTGTAAAAAACTTGAAAAACTATCAGTGCAATTTTTTAAAAATATTTTTTAGTTTTTATTTAATGAATAAAAAATAATTAAAAAATTGAAAATGTCGGCTAACTTTAGTATTATGAAATCTGTAGATATCTGACAATTTTTTTTTTCTATTAAAAATCAATTATAAAAAAACCATTTTTAAAAAAATTTGTACATGTAATTTTTTTAAATTTCTAGCTGTGGAATTATTTAATTAAAATTTTTTTATAATAATTTAATTATTACAAAAATCCAAAAAATTGATAGATATCTGTTAATTTCACTATCATCAATAAAAATAAAAGTACTTACGTGAGTATCATCATCAGCATCTGGACTGTCCGGTCTTTCCTCATGATCATGTGAGTTAACATCGTCATGACAATGGCACTCATCTACACTCGATTCAGCAGCTACAGCATCATCTGCTGCCGCAAGATCAACTTCTGACACCAATTTTTCTTCACGCTCTTGTCTCTTACGAGCTTCTTCAGCAGCTTTCTCGATAGCATAACGCTCTTCTTCCTCGAGTGCTAGAATAGCCTCTTCTTCGGCAGCCCGTCTATGATAATAATAATAATAATAATAATAATAATATAAATAAATATTATTTGCCAAAATAAAAAAATTTAAAGATTTGTAAAATTAAATACCTTTGTTCTTCAGCAATTTTCGCATCTCGAATACGTTCAGCTTCAAGTCTCGCTTCTTCAGCTTGTCTTTCGGCCTCCAGACGTTCCTGTTCCTCGATTTCTCTGAGCCGCGCCTGACGTTTCTCTTCCTCCAATCGCGCCCGCTCCTCAATTTCCGCTTTCCATCTTTCTTCGGCCAACCTAAATAGCATCAAAGCACATACAGGTTTACGAAAAACGGAGGCAGTCGAAGAGACCAGGTATTGGTTACCTGGCCTCCTCGGCTTGCCTCCTTTTCTCCTCCTCAGCTTGCCTTTTAAGTTCCTCCACTTGCCTTCTTAATTCCTCGTCATCGAGTTTACGTTGCAGCACTAAAAAAAATATACAAAAAATAATATCATGCTGATTACGTGGTTCTTTCCGCTGTCATGCATCAGATTCACTCAAAGGTCTCTCGTCATTTAATATTTATCTTTCAGTATTTATTTTCTTTTCGGTACTGTCATTTTTAAGTGAAATAAATGGAAGAAATGATAATTTTATAACACTAAAGATCTATCACATAAAATACTTTTAACGTGCAACATTCAGTATGTACGTAGATACTAATCGTGACATGACTATTGAGATGACTACTAATACAAGGACAGATAAATAGTGATATGATAAAATATAAGAATATAATATAGATAAGAGAAGAGAAGAAAATAGCAGAGAAGAGTACATTGTAATAATTAGCGTCGGTTTACTGTCTGAGGGTATACTTTTCAAGAAGTCGTAGAAGCCCGAGTTTACGAGACATACCCTCATCGTCTCCTTGATTGTCATCTTGTTCGTCTTTTTCTGCAGGCAAAAAATCTGATTGCTCTGGAACTTCTTCAGTCTGTTCTACTGGAACACCTTCATCGTTTTCTAATGGAGGCATTTGTTCTGTAATTTCTTCAACAATTACAACATCTTTATCTACTAATTCTACTTCATTTTCTGCCGGTTCAGGTTCTGGTTGAATCACTTGTTCCGGTTCAATTTCAGCCTCAACCAATTGTTCTTGTATTGCTTCTGGTTCTGGTTCTGGTTCCGCAACAGCAGGCTCTGGTTCTGCGACAGCAAGTTCTGGTTCTGCCTCAGCTAGTACAGGTTCAGGTTCTGGTTCAGCTATTACCGGCTCTACTTTAACTGGTTCAGGTTCTGATTCTGGTTCAGTGTTTACTACAGGTTTTGATTTAGCTACTTTCCGCTTTGATTTAGTTTTAACTTCGACAATTGGTTCCGGTTCTGGCACGACCTCTGGTTCTGGTTCAGAAGCCACAATTGGTTCAGGTTCTGGCTCTGGTTCAGGTTCACGAACAAACTTTGAAACTGGTTTCGGTTCAGGAGCCCATTTAGGTTCCGATTGATATACACTTGCTAAATCTGGCTTAGAAATAGGTTCTGGATCTGGTGATGCTGAGAATAAACATGACAATGATTGTTTAATGAATGACATAATGACATGATTGTAGTCAGGATTTTTGTGTTAAATTCAAAATAACAATTAATGATGAATGGTATCAAATTTTTGATATTAAGGCGAAAATATTGGTCATATAAATTTTTTCGAATAAAAGTTGTTCAATATTTAATTTTCTAAAAAAAAAGTCTCATAATTTTATGTTAGGACCAATAAAAAAACCGTAATTTAAAAATGAAGATTTTTATAATTAGCAAAAATTTGAATTATTCATTACGAATCTTAATTTTGGAATAATTTTGGCATAATAAATCATACGAGACATTTTATAGGAGTCTTTTTATAGGATCAATATTTTTGTCGTAAGATCTAAAATTTAAACCATTAATTTTGAAATTTTGGCAAAAATCTTGACCTTAGATATTATGATATTTAATTAATATTCATGAAATATGGCTGTTATTTACCTTTTCTAGGCGAATAAACTCGATCTTCAGCCAATGCACGTGCTAAAATTATTTTGTTATTGTTTTGGTTAATAAAAGTATGACTTTGGATCATGATATATAACATTATTTATATTTTTTGTACAACACAACACCGATACTAACCCTTTCTCAGCTCTCTTTCAGTGAGCGGAGCGTCAGGATCTAAGGAATACACATAATAGACATTTAATACAAAGTTAGTTACTTAGTTACCAGACAAATTTCTACCATTATCACATCGTGCATCAAGCAAAGTACTGCTAAGCTTCGCTAATTATCATAGTCATTAGTCACTCTCACTACTCAGCTCTGTTAATAATGAAGATAGAAAGTTTCTGTTAGTTCTAGTAGAATTTATTTATTAGCGGTGTTCGTGTTGTTTTCATTTAAATAATTTATGTGATATAAATAAATAATGTTTGCCTGATGTTAAAAATTCAAAAGCACATTCCAGCGCTTATCTACAAACAAAAGCTTACCTCATAAACAAAAACTACCACTCTCAGCTGGGGGTCAATTACTTCACATACCAATACGCAAACTATTCGTCAAGCAGTATGTTTAAAAAATTTATTTCTTCAAAATTTTTCTACTTTTATTTTAGAGTATTTAATTCTGCTTTCTAATTTTCAACAATTTTAATACAATTTTACTTTTAGCTATTATATTAATTTACTTCGTTATTGTTATTATTAATATATTTATTTTGCTTCAACTTAACTTACATCAAGTAGAAGAAAAAATTATAAACTTTTTTCAAGCTATAAATAAATTAAATATATTTTTTTATTACTTTACATTCATAAAGACTCTTTAAATGTTATATAAACTAATTAAATTATGAAGTTTTAATCAGTTTTGAGACGAAAAAAAATGACTTTCAAACAGTGAGAATGACGTACTAATTAAATAAAATTTTTAGCAATAATAAAAAAACTTAAAAATTGATTCTATACGCGAATCTATTTTTTACTTAAATTAACGGCAGTTAAATTTGTTCCATGATTTGTTTTTCTTCTTAGTACTTTTTTCAAGAAAAAAAGTTTTGAGAAACCCATTTACCCTCGACTTATCTCCCCTATTTCTTAAATATTTAACGACATAAAATTCTTACCGTCAATCACCCTTAAAAATTCAAAGAAATCTCTATGTGAATATAAATTTATAAAAAACTATTTAATTTATTCAGCTTTATTTAAATAATTATTATTATTCTGCTTTAAATTTGATTTAATTAAATAAATAACACGTTAGTCATTGTAATTGCAGTTACGTTAAAGTTCAAATATATAATCATAATCAGTAATGGAAGACATATTTTATTTTTTGATAAATTAAGAAAAAAAAGGTATTTAAGTTTGTAATATCACAAAATATGATAATAAATTATTCCTCATCGAGTTCGGGTATTGCGTCTTGATCTTCTTCAGCCTGTTGTTTTTTCTTTTTTGTGGGGTCCTCATTAAGCTCTGGTACGCGGGTTCTCCATCCTTGGCCTGAAATATTCAACAAATCCCCAGGTTTCTCTGCACTTAATCAACAATCAGCGTTGTTGTTTTTTTATTTTTATTTTTATGTTTAGACTTTACTTGCTTTACTTGGATTTGTCTGCTATGGATCTTTGAAACCTGACTCATGATGTGACTTGTTTGCATGTTTTATTATTATATATATTACTGAGCAAATGAATAATTATAAAAAAATATTCTCATTAATAATGGTACCATCTTATAATAATAATAATAATAATAATAGTATTATAATTTTGTAAATAATAAAAAATAAATCAACACCAATTATTTAGATACTTTTTGTAAACTTAAATTCGCTTATTGTTTATTTTCAATTTATCGATTGATACATGTTCAGATTTTTGTTGTGCTTGTGTTTTGCATAGACAATTAACACACAAACAGTGAAAAAAAAATTAAAAACAAAAGTAAACAGTGACGACGATAGACAAGAAAAAAAATAGAAAAATAAAGACCACACGAGTGCACAAAACACAATAGAAAAAAAATATTTATAAACAAACAAAAAAAAAAAACAGTTATCAGGGGAAGGAGTTTTAAAAAAATATTAAAAAAAAAATCACATTCGTCACACACAACAGCGTCATATGGCCGCTTTTTACACTTTTTTTGCTTCTATTTATAAAAAAAATACTAAATAAAATAATATTGAATAAGTGATCGAGATGTGTCGAGTTATATTTTTAATTAATAAATTAAAATCGATGGCATATTATGACTAAAAGTATAACTTTTAAAAAGTATTGATAAAAATAATTTATGGGTTACAGTTTCTTTAGTGGAAAATTTATAATTGAATTTTTAGAAATATTGAAATTCAAATTTTGTCTTAACTTCAAAATATTCAATAAAATTGACAAGAATTTTTTTCTAAAAATAATGAAAATTAATTTAGCCGATATTTAGTAATTTTATTAATAATTTTTCTGATGAATAAATTACGGCATTAAAAAATGAGAAAAAAAATGGACATTTAGAAATTTTACTAAATTAAAAGTGCAATTTTTTAAAAATAACTTTTCGGAACAAATTTTTTTGTTAAATAAAATTAAAAAATGGTCAAATGACAGCTAACTTTAATATCATGAAATTTTATATGAAAAAATGTCTTATAACTTTTTTTGTATCTTTTAAATTTTATATAGACGAGTCGTGAATTTAAAATTAGTTGAAAAAAAAATGTTTTATCAAATTCAAATCCAAAGTAAGACTAAAAGTGAGAAATCAATATTTGGTGTTTGAAAATAAATCATTTACGTTTTTTTACACCTAAGACATTTCAAAAGTATAAATTGTTGAATACCGACAAAGAAAATTTTGAAAATAACTCGGTCGTTGCCATCGATGTAATTTATAAAAACAATATGATACTTAATTTTCGTTGTATTGTTTACTTTGATACATGTATTAAAAATAGTATTGACGTGACGTCTGTTTAAATCGCGTGTCAGTTTACTGCACTTATTGTCAGTGACGTAGTCGTTTTGAAAAGTACTCACAAGCACTGGCCGCAGCCTGACGATTCTTTGCGTAGTAACTGAGAAGATTTACGTCACTTTGAACGTCAGCTGGACGCAAATCGGTAACTTTGTAGTAAGGCCTCCTACGTGAATGGGGTTTACCTCCGGTGTAAGAAACAGATGCTAAATGCCCACTGCCGAATTGACGGTGTTCCGGTGAATCATACCAGTTAGCTGGCTCATCATCTTTTTTAGCGTTTTTACGCGCTGTCAATACTCGTCTTACGTAATCATCGCTGCGCATACGTTCTGGTGTTATTGTCTCTGCGAAATCACTGCGTAAAATTTTTAATAAGTGTTTATTCGATTTTCGATGGACTTATTAATGTATTTTTAACTTTCTTCAGAAAAAAAGTAGTAAGTTCTGGGAATAATCAGCCATAAACATTTTTGTTTTATGTTCATGGGTGATTCTCTGGAAGGACGTCTCAAAGGAGTACAAAATTGTCCGACTAAATTATTTTTGATTTTATTAGAAAAAAAATTAACAACGGCTACAAAACTATCAGCTTAATCATAATAAATAAACAGCCGAATTAATTTTTGCTTTTTCGATATTTGTGTATCTTTTGCCGTATAACATGACAGGGGACTGCTTGCCAGGGGACTGTTTTTTTTTATCAAATTGAAAAAAATCAAGCAATCTATTTCAATGCATTCAACTTTTCAAGTTCTCAATGAATGTTTCCATTAATTAGAATAATATTAAGACTTATGGATCTAATTTTATAAATAAATCATAAATAAAAATAGCTGCCAGGGGGCCGAGTTTTGAAGTGGCCCAGACACATATTTCCAGCACAAACGGTGCTTTGACACTAAATAAAATGGCGATAAAGCGCTAACAGCCCTATGGTTATTAACTCAAGGCTAGTTAGATCCTTATAAACCTTACAAAAGGTAAAATAACACGCTGGATCTTGAAATGCCTGGGACAAACTTTGGTTTAATGAATTTAATGAAACAAATTAATTTTTGGTACTTTTTATTGAAGAAGATTTCTAGTTAACTAATTAAGTTTATAAACATTATAGACCAAATTATATATTATTGACGAATAACTTAAAATTTAATAATTAAATGAGTTTGTTTTATCACCAATGCGATCACTATTTTTCGACTAGTTTTAAACTAATTCAAGTCAAGATGGAGCATTCCATCTTCGCTGAAGATCGAGACGGGATTGTCTCTTATTGTTAGGTCGATGGACTCCATCAAACAAGAATACTAGTAAGCTGGAAGTTGTTAGTATCTGTTCGAGGTATAAAGATGTTAATAAACGAAAATCGTCTGAGAGCGAAAGTAACTTTGAAAAAATTATTAAAACTTTAAGATTAAATTTTAAATTAATTTTCTCAACCGTGATTTTAATAATTAAATGAGTTTGTTTTATCACCAATGCGATCAATATTTTTTGACTAGTTTTAAACTAATTCAAGTCGAGATGGAGCATTTCATCTTCGCTAAAGATCGAGACGGGATTGTCTCTTGTTGTTAGGTCGATGGACTCCATCAAACAAGAATACTAGTAAGCTGGAAGTTGTTAGTATCTGTTCGAGGTATAAAGATGTTAATAAACGAAAATCGTCTGAGAGCGAAAGTAACTTTGAAAAAATTCGTGAAAAATTAACCAAGCCAGGACTCGAACCTGGATTTTTACAGCATCTAATACTCCATCTCGACTTGAATTAGTTTAAAACTAGTCGAAAAATAGTGATCGCATTGGTGATAAAACAAACTCATTTAATTATTAAAATCACGGTTGAGAAAATTAATTTAAAATTTAATCTTAAAGTTTTAATTTTGGGAATGGGACAGCCCATGGGACTGATATTTCGGTGGTTTACGAATTTATAGCAAAAAAACCAAAATTTATTTCATTTTAGTTTTCAATGTTCCAAATAGAAATGTTTTTTTACTTTCGTAATAAATTTTTTTTAACAAACAAATAACAATTTTTCTAATGAAAAAATGCCTGGGACAGCAAAAAACATCCTTACAGAGAATCACCCTCATAGAAAATTAATTCAAATTATAAATTACAAATTACAAGGAGTAAATAATAAGATTTACCGCATAAAAGAAATGGAAAACATAATTGAGGATAATAAAGTTACCTAGATACTGGTCGTGGTACAAAAACATGAATGCGACGAAGTAATGAATCAGCTCTAGCACGAATTTCTCGAGTCTCGTCGTCAAACATCTACAGAAATATCAATAATTTATAAAACAACAAGTATTTTGTCAACAAAAAAATAATAATAATAATAAAATGTTTAAAGAACAACTAAAGTAAAATCTTGTTTACATATTTCTAAACATTAATCATCAACATGAAGTCTTTAATTTAAATATAGAGTTATTATTTATATCAACTTTTTAATAATAACATTGACTAGGATTTAAATTAAATTGACTGAAATTTATCCTCCCACGATATGAATCAGCTGACGCATTTCCGCTCGCTTAATCATAATTATTTATTTTATTTTATTTTATTGAATTGGAATGTAATGTAAAAAAAAAAAAAATAAAATTCCACCGTTAATTTGAGTTAATAGAATGTAACATAAAATTGATAAACTTACAATATTGTCCCTGGAGTTGAGGTACTTGGACACATAAGAGGTACTAGAAGGTCGTGTTTGATTACGTATTCTCTGCAATTCCGCAGCAATAACACTGGGTCTTACTCGCGAATAAATTCGTATTGGCACGGGTACAGTGTATGCATGAAAAATAACTGGATAAGGTGTATGGATAACACTGACGAGCTTCTTGTGTGCAATGTAAGGCAGATGGTGAGGTAATTTATTCACCTGTATTTCATAACGTTTCCAATATTCACTTAACCTATTTTTTTTTTATTTATATTTATATATTTTCCGATGTGAATTATTGCATGATCATCAGGCTGTTTGCTATTTTATTGCGAAGCAACGTGTTTGCATGATTTATTAAATGCCGCTTTCCAAGTGTCAAATACCTCAATATTAGTCTTATCATTCAGATTTATATGAAAATTAGTAACTAATACTATTTATTGATTATTGTGACTACTGTTCTTTTAAAAAAGTGAAAATAATTTTATTGCATACATAGGTATCTAGGCTTCTAATTTTATTCTTAATGATAATGAGATACATTGTATATGAAAATTTGCTGAAAACTGGTATAAAAATTGAAAAATAATTCTTTGAACAAAAAAAGTTTCAGTATTTATTTAATAGTTAAAATTATGGACAATTGAAAATTAATTTATTTTAGTGATATTTATACAGAGAAAAAATTTATGATCAGTTGACATGAATTAATAAAATAAAGTGTTATATTTAATTTTTTTTCTCTTCGTATAAAATTATACATTCAAACAATAAATATCTCTGGAAATATTTTTGTATTATTAAAAAAAGTTTTTTTTTTTTTAAAGTATTTTAAGTTATTTCAACTTGATTTGCCAAGATTTAAATATTACACACTTCATTCTACTTGTAGGCAACACTTGAGTCTTATTAATGATTGTATACTTATTTATTTTTGAATATGAAGCAAGTAAATTTATTTTTACTTAAATTAATTTTTCTACTGATCAATAAAAATTAATGTACATCTTTAATTAATCAAAACTAAGCATGAGCATTCATGCATCGATTGCTGAAATTAATTTATAAACAACTACTTCTAATTGAGCTTACAGCAAAATTCTATTTATTTAAAAAATTCACAAAACAAGACAGTAGTCACCTAAAAATGTATCTTAAATGAATAATGGTATGATTGTTGTTAATTATTCGAATTATTTTTATTTTATGATAATGATAATGAGTATTACGAGCGAAAAAGCGTCATCAATTACAATCCTTCTAATTAATTTTAACCCTTTCAATTTTTTTATCTAATATTAACTTAAATATGATAAAAATCTAAAAACTTATAAATGAAAAATTCTTTTATATAAAATAAAAATGTATATCCTTGTAAATATGAAAGAGTTAATGTCAATAACTGACCTGCTGCTGTTGAAGAGGCGGTAATGGTCTGATTATTGCACCAGGGTTCTGTTCAATATAAGCCATGATATTTGTCGAAGTATATATAAATGGTTTAGTCCATATTGTATCATATAGGTGTTTAAGTAATCCATAAGCAGAAAGGGAGAGATAAGCAGCAGTTGCAGAAGCACCAGCAAAAATTATAAAATTAAAAAAGCATTATAATCATAAACAAATCCAAATACTATTATTTTATTTTTAACTTTCATAAAATTACACCCTCCAATAAAAATTCATTATAATTTTTTTTATCCATTATTTGACATCTAATCCTTTAAAAAGTCCGAAATTTTGAAATTAAAATATATTTATTGTCAATGGCCAATTTCGTTGTGTGTCTATAAATATTAATTAAATCATTATTAATGTCATTAAATTTGTAATTAATATTTTAGTAAAAAACAAAAAAATAATTACTTAAAAAAAAGCATGCAAAATATTGCCGGCAGGATTTTATGAATGATAATAATAGTACATATTTATTTTTTAATGTAACATATAATGTTTATTTATTAATTGAAAATATAATTTTTATTCATGATATATATTTATAATGTAAGAATATAATAAATTATTATTTAAATGTTAAGACACATTTTATAACAAGTGAATTTATGAGTAATATAATTTTAATGTATGCGAAAGCATTAAAGACAATCTATAAATAGTCGACAAAGTAACATAGTGAATTGATCTAATATATATATTGTTATTATTAATATTTATTATCATGATTAATTCACAATGTATGTAAAATAATATGTATGTTTTTAAGCATGCTTTTAAACACGGTATGAGAAATGACGGTACGTTGTACCACCAGGCAAACGTCCAGATGTTGATGATTGGTATGATGAATGATAACCTCCAGGTCCAGCACCAGATGATGATCTGGTGTTTCTCTCAGTAGAGTATGATCCATATGGGCCGCTTTCGCGTTTAATTGTTGTCTCTTGGGTTGAACGCTGAGGACGACCGTACGTATCTGACGAGGACGATGAATTGGTGTAACTGTAGCTGTACTGTTCTTCCGCTGATCTCACCCCAGTTGAAGGGTAGTCACGGACCACATAATGCCGCGGAGTCTGTACGGAGTTATACAATCACTATTCAAGGCCCTTTACCAATTTTTTTTTTCTTTTTTCAAATATTATTTTTTTTTTACTCTTTTTAGATTTTTATTAGTTGGGTTATTTTGGTTTTTGAGTTGCTGGTCATTACATGGAGAGAAATGTTATTATATAAATTATTCAACTATAGAAATTAATTAATTAATTGCAAGTAAAATCAATTTAATATTTCAGAGAATTAAAAATATTTTTAGGTAATACAGTGGCTGTTATCAGGTTTTCTAAATTTTAATATAAAAAATATGCTTTTAACATTTATTTTTCTACACTGATAGAAGGATTTCTTGGGTATTCAAGAAGATTTTTTTGTATTTAAGAAATCATTTCTTAAACATCATTTCTCAGTATTTAAAAAATATTTCTTAGTATTTAAGAAATATATATATATATATTTTTTTTAGTATTAAAGAAATATTTCTTAAATACAAAGAAATCTTCTTAAATGTTAAGAAATTTTTCTATCAGTGTAATTAGCCAATAATAGCCAATAATCTGAAAATTTTCAATGACTTTCGTCAGAAAATATCTACAAAAAATATGATTGATTTTTTTTTTGTTGCACAAAAAAAAAATTTCTTGTGCCAAGAAAATATTGAGAAAGACCAAAAGTATTTTGGAACAATAAAAAATTTTCTTAGCTCAAGAAAATTTGACTTTACTCAAATTTTTAGTCTTCCTTAATATTTTTCGTCTCAAGAAAATTAAACCTCTAGTCAAAGATTTTTCCTTTTTAAGAACAGTAAAAAATCGATGATACATTTCTCTCCTTGTTATATAACTTAATAGGAGAACGGTTTTGCAAAAATATAAATTTTTATATGGTCTCAGTAATTAAATAACAGCCTTTGTTGGATAGAATTGTTATTTTAACGAAACATAAAAGCAATAAAAAGCATTTAAGGCGTAAAAATGCAATGTGGATAAATAATAAATATGAGTTTTAGTTTAATACTGTAGACACACAACGTGCGGGCCGACTATGATGTGCATATAAATATAACAATATTTAAATATTTTTTTATTGTTATTTCGAAATTACATTATAAATTATATACTTAGAATTTCGTAAATAATTTTACAAGTATCACCTTGCCAAGAGACACGCAAGATTTACTTTCACACGCAAAGTGATAAATCTTAAACGTAACTTAGTGTCTCACTGGAATAGAATTCGGTTATTTAAATAATATATATATATATAATAATATTTTCTGTAATAATTTTCGAGTTCTGTTTTTTTTGTTGTAGTGGTTTATTTACTCCTCACAAAATACATTACCTCTACATAGTTTTTATTTATTTTAATATTTATGTACGCGATATGAGATATTATAAGCTAACAAAAAATAGTTAGTTAATTTTTTTTTATTTTCTCAAATCTAAAATATTAAAATTTTTCATGTCTCATTTATACTCAAAATAATGTATCATTTTTTATCTCTCCTCTTACACTACTAATAGCATAAATTCTTTCGTAGCTTCTTTAGTTACTTTCAACGATTAAAAAAAAAAAAAAAAAATTCTATTTAAAAAAATCCCGAGTATCGACACCAAAAAGCGAGAAAAATGTCCAACACCCGGTAATCGTTTTCGTGAATTTCGTTTTCATTAAAATGAATGAATTTAGAACCGATACCACGAAGGTCTTTGCAAGTTAATGAGAATTCGAGTATGGCCACTGGCCGGAGCAATAGCGTGTCTTTTGGCGCCAGGTTGTCTTGCAAGAACCCCTTTCTCAAAAACGCATCCTTTAGCGGCTAATTCTGCAGCAACGTCTAATCCGACTTTCGAAACAGTACCGCCCTTGATCAATTGTCTTGTATGATCATCTTCGGAGGGATTTTTTCCACGTATTGACCCTTCTTTGTCCTTAATTGTCGCATACTGATAAAATTCTTTTTCCGGGTCTTGTTTTTTCCGTCCCCAGACTGTAAATGGCTCGGGAACGAGTGAAGGCCGTGGTACAAATGGAACCTTTTCCCATGGAAATAGTTCTCGTTTCTAAAAATATCCAAAGCCTTGCCGATTAGGCTTCTCTTCCATTTTTTCTACTACTTCTATGTCTATTTTACTTTTTTTTACGATCATACGGCGTTCTCTTTCCGCTAATCTTCAATCGATAATTATTTCATTGTATTTCACTTCCACACCCACCCTTTTAGCTAATAAAAAATAACAACTTCAGCTATTATAGTTATTATTATTCTTGTCCAATTTACGCAAATTTAATTATTTAAGAGGAGAGATAATTTTTTATTTATCAATTTTGATAAATAAAGTGACTATTTGATTTTTTAAATCATTATATTACAGCGAATGTTGAATTTTAAATGGTATTTAGTATTCATGAATTTATAGGTAATAATTAAAATCAAATAAATGTCAAATAACTGTCAGAATTTTGCCGTTTCGTTGCCAACATCGTTTGTAGTGCACAACGCCCTTGTAAGCAAGTTTCAAATCAATTTTATTTTACGACATTGGCCAACTTCCTTTGAATGACGATTTAGAAAACAATTTTTTTTTTTTTATTTTCTTAAATTCATTGATCTACAAAGAAATAATAATAATAACATATTTTTCTCTTTATTTTTTATAGCTTTTTATTAATTTATAATAGTAACAAGGACTAAAAAAATTTTAATAAAATATTTAAATACTTTTTTGCAATTATCAAAGATATATTAGCAAGAAACAATTAAAAAAAATTTAAATATTCTTTTTGAAATTAAAGATTAAAAATAAAAAATTTATTACAATAATTATGAAAAAAAATGTAATGCTTTGAATTATGCATAGTTAATATTTAGCGCCATTAAATACAATTTTAAAAGTATTTTTTCGGATTGTTTTCCTCCCACGTCCCTTACAGTCGTAAAAATATATATGTATATTTATTTATATAAGCCATATCTAAGTATATGGTACATATGATGGAGCTTGCGACGTATGAATTTCTACGACGAAGTGAAGCTCCGTCGAATAAGAGAAGCCAAGTGGGGGATTCACGGACGGTTGGTACGTCGCGAGACTAAATTAGGGCAGCGTAACGCAACACCGTGGTTTAAGTGTCTGACGTTTCTCTTAAGCTATTTGCAAAAGATACTGAAAGCTTTTCTCTCTTTACACACTACTATTATTATTATTATTATTATCATTACAATCATCATAACAATTATAATAATAACAATCCAACTATTTTCACGGTTACATAATTTACAAATTTATATGAAAATTAAGTTAGCGGACATTTCAAAATTTTTAGAGATTTTTTATTGAAAAAGTTTCAATTAAACAATTAAAAAAAAATTTTCACTTATAAAAAACTTGAAAAACTATAAGTGTAATTTTTTAAAAATATTTTTTTAGTTGTAATTTAATTAATAAAAAAAATCAAAAATTTTTAGACGTCTGCTAACTTCAGTGCCATAAATTTATAATTTTGCGTCAGCAGAGTGCTAAAAAATTCTCTCACCCACTCATTTCATAGTCTTTTTTTTGGATGCGTAATTTTACTGAGACATTTTAATAACAGTTGGAGTAATTTTTTCAGTTATTTTCAAAAAATCCATTGGGTCATCTAAGTTTAACATTTTGTGAGTCCCGGAAAATAGCTCTGTCTCAAAATAGTCGTAACTGATGACCCTACTGCCCTCTTATAGTTATTTATATAATGTTTCTTGATTTTTCTATGACGCACGTCCGTTAATAATTTAAAAAAAAAAATTTAATACATAAAAAAAAAGTCTAAATTTAAATGTACTTATACATAAATATACAACGACAATTAAATAATAGTAATTGAATTTAAAAATAAATAATGGATGATTGATTGGATCAGAGTTTATGCCAAGTGACAATGTTTAGTTATCCGGTATTGGCACGTGTGTGTTATATTGTCATACGATAACAACTCCAGAGTGCCAAACACCAAGGATATTTTTTGAGTAATTACACAATGTGTATTTATTTATAATTATATTTTAGATTGTACGTCAAATTCGTCAATGAAAACTAATAAAACACTTATGTATAATTGAATTTATGTAATTAGTATATCATTATCAATCACAATAAATAAAAAATAGTACAACCAAAATTAATGTTTTCGAACATTTAAATTAATTTACAAATGGACTGTGGTTTTGTTCCTTTAAATTCTGACCCATTGTGAGACACTAAGCACATTTTAATATGAAATATATTTCTGTATATATTTATATTCTTCTGTAATGGTCAGAGTAAAGTGTGGAAGATGAAACATTATTTTATCGATAGTTAATTGTTAAATAAATTAGTCGTATCTCGTATGGATAAAACATTGCTTTGATAATTTAATGACTGGTAATAGAGTCAACGTTTCGGATTTTTTTAACAATAATGTACAATGTGTAATAAGAACGCCTTACGATCTTTAGTAAGAAATATTTTAAATAAATAAATAAATAAATATAAAAGCCCGTGCAAAGCGTTGTACATGCATTTTTACTGTCAATATCAATTTTTAATATCGACAATAAATTGTTAAAATCTAATAGACTAATACTCGAAACTTTGACTCCTTTTTTCGGGTAAAAACTAATTTTTTTATTTTTTTATTTAAAAAATAAACTGTTGATTGGAGTTATAAATTTATGATAATTGTTTTTTTGTGTTGGGATTTGCTTGAACGGCATGACAGGAATATATATAAAATATATATATATATATATATATATTTTTTAATGACACTGAAATTAGCAGACGTCTAAAAATTTTTGATTTTTTTTTTTTTTTTTCATTAAATTACAACTAAAAAGATATTTCTAAAAAATTGCACTTATAGTTTTTCAATTTTTTTACATGTGAAAATTTTTTTTTTAATTGTTTAATTAAAATTTTTTCAATAAAAAATTTCTAAAAATTTTGAAATGTCGGCTAACTTCATTTTCATATTTTTTATGGTTAATAGCGTTTGCAATGACATGTAATGTGTTATTTAAAATAATAATAATATAAATGCATTCGATAGTTGACAATGATGATTAATTAATAAACAGTAATGATAATAAAAATAAATAAAAAATTACTGACCGTCACGGTGTAGTGAGATGAAATCGGGCGTGTGTAGGGTCGTCGGGTTGTGTAGAAATCGCTTTCATAAACCATTTTCGGTAGTCGTTTGTTAAAGTTGAACAAAAAAAGAACTTAAACTTTCTAAAAAAATGAATAAACAATTGGAAGAAACAAACTTTTTAAAATAAGTTTAAGAATAAAATCCGCAGATTGGCGATGCGGTCACGTTGATAGTTCGGACAGTTCTGTTTTAAGAACGCGGGAAGACTTGAGGATGTTTTAGAAGTTAAAACCCCTTCTTTTCCGTTAGTATTATAAAAGCCAATGTGACTGATCTCTCCCTCCCCTTAATTCTATTACATTTAAAATTTCATTGCGTCATATTAAACAACACACGTCTGATGAACGCATCTAAAGAAATAGAAATTGTGTTAAGGTTGTCCACATGACACTTGTTAGTTTATTTTTTGGGGGTTTTTTTTTTAAACAACTGATCATCCGCGGTCGTTTGATTTTTATTTTTTAACACCCGGGGACACCCATTCAATGAAACGTGACGTCGCAGGACCGAGAATATTTTTTATTGAAGGTCTTACTTATTTATAGCTCAAGTGCTCTCATCTTTGATATGATTAGTCTATATGATTATTTTTATTTTAATTATTAATATACAGAATTTTTAGATTTACAGTTTGAGAAAAAACATTTGTTTCATTTTCATTCGACAAAAATAAATGGTCCCGTTAATAATTTTAATATATTTATTGTTATAATAAATTTTATAATAAAAATTATTGTTAGTTATAAATAAATTTATTTATTTACATGAACTCGTTTCATATATTTACAGTTTTCAAAATATTAAATAAATTATATCCAAACTATGGTAAATATACAAAAGTGAATCATTTATTTTTTTATAAATTTAAACTTTTCTTAGTATATATGATACTGAAAATGTTTCATGGCTGACTTGCAAGGTTGCTATTTTCAACCTAACAATTAACAAAAATTTTTTCATGCAAAACAAGATATTTATAAAGTTAATCTGACTTGTAAAAAATAATTTCCTGTAAAAACATCAAAAATTTGGCATAAGATTTTTGGAATTTTGTCTTGCTCTGGTACAGTTAATAGATAGTACTGCGATATTGTATAATATATTTCAAAGGTTTAAATATAAAAAAGCTTGCGCAAAACTGTTAATTGGAATTCCACGACAAATATTGTAACTTATGTTTTGTTGATATATAATTTTGTAAGTCTTTGTGTGTGAAAAAGAGAAATTGCGCATGTTAAATCTTTAAAAATTAAATTACAGTAAATATTGAAATGGGACAATAATTTTTGTCAAAATTCAGTTTCAAACGGATTAAGAAATCTAATTTGAAATGACTTAATCCATAAAATGTAAATCTCTATCATAGTCATCTCAAATTATTTCGAATTGTTTTTAATAATTTCAAATTAATTTTCTCAGTTAGGACAACTTGACTAATTAAATTTAAAGAAACGTTGAAATTATTTATGATTTTAATTAAATGACGTTTTAGGAAATTTTAAAAATTGTGAACATAAAATGAAAAAGCTTCTGCAACAGTTAATCTTACAATAATACTTAAATTAACAGACATCCGATAATTGTTAGAATTTTTTTAACAAAAGGATAAGAGGAAAATTTAAGGTGATGAGAAATTTGGGATAAACGAAAAAAAAAAAAAAAAAAAAGTTATATCTAATCGTACATTTTATTAAAATATCTTGACTTACAAAAAATTAACTGTACGTGATAATTTAAGTTTGATTATTTCAGCGTACCCCGGAAAATTTTCAAAATCTTCAGACCCCCAATCCTTTTTCTGAGTGAATGACTCCATCACCTCAACTAGGCTCTGTTCATCCATCATCAGAATGTCATAAAAAGTGATGACACTTGATGACGAAAGCTTTGCGTTCATCATTGTGTTGACTTCTTCAGAGTAGATAATGTAAGGTAAGGAATCCAATAGTGAAAAAAAAATTGTTAACTATTTTCATTTAGTAGATATCGCGGTTTAAATTTCAGATTTGAATTCCTCATATCAAAATATGTAAAGGAAGACCTTAACTTTCCTTTGAAATATATTTTTAAATTTTGAATACAGACCTCTATTGTGTGCAAAAGGATTAAGGACTAAGCGTATCCTTTTTGAGTAATCACCATGTTGCTTTTACGTTAACTCTCTATTATTTCCCAAAACCAAAATTTAAATTAAAATAAAAATTTTACCCAAAAACATGAAAGCTAATATTTTTTCCAACTTTTAGAGGCAAAAAAGCTATTGAAATCTTTATTTTTTCCTTTCACGACATTTTTTATCATAAATGCGCCGTAAAAACAAGCAAAATCAAAAAAAAAATTTTAAACGTTAATTTTTCACCTAGTTATGGCCCAAAATGGGGTTGACCCCCTCCCCCACTTGCAAGTAATTATCATTAATATTTATCTTTCAGATATTATAATTGTAATTAATTTAGTATAATACTTTTTACACTTTACATTTACATATGTCATTTCTTTTGTAAAATTTCCGAAAACGTTAAATAAAAAAATAAATAAATAATTATAAGAATAAAATTTCTCACGTGAAAATTAAAAAGACGCCATTCGGCCATACCCGAAATGGAAGGTAGATTTCATAGAATGAATTATCGTCTTGTATCAATTACTTTCGTTTGACATGGATAGATTGTATTACACATTGCCTGAAAATGGTTCAATTGAACTCTTAACTTTGATAAAATAACTAAAAATGGTCAAAATGTCAATGTTATATATGTCAAATTAAAGGCAATTTCATGAGCTTTTACATGAATTCATCAAAAATTAGCCATCTCTTTTCAACCAACAGCTATTTTTTTGCTATTAAAAGTTATACATAAATGAAGTCACCGAAAATGTAATTTCTCCTATTTTGATCATTTTGAAGAGCTTCTATTTCTGAACTAATCGAAGGATTTCGGTCATTTTAAGGCTCATGCAAGCTAATTGTCAAATGAATTTGTATACTTAATTTCATTGGGATCTGTTATGAATTCTCGACAGAATAACATTCATAAGTCGATTGCACTACTCATTGCTTGAAAATGGTTCAATAGAACTTTTAACTTCGATAAAATAATTAAAAATGATCAAAATGTCAATGTTATATATGTCAAATTAAAGGCAATTTCATGAGCTTTTACATGAATTCATCAAAAATTAGCCATCTCTTTTCAACCAAAAGTTACACATTAATGAAGTCACCAAAAACGTGATTTTCACTATTTTGATAATTTTGAAGAGCTGCCATTTCTAAACTTATCGATGGATTTCGTTCATCTTCGAACTCATTCAAGGTTATTATCCAAAGAATATGTGTAACAAATTTCATCTAGATCCGTCAAGAACTGTAGACACAATCGCGGCAACATCCCGCGTTATATTACATATATATAAATTTTTTAACTAACGTTATTTTTGAGCTTTACTCGACTAGTTAAGTGATATTACAACAAAATTCCGAGTAAATTCCAACATGAGGACCAATGCAAAAGATTGATTTCTATGAAATTTACCTAAAAAAAGTATAGACGCAATTTTTAATGAAACTGAAAATAGCAGACATCTGTAATTTCTTAGATTCTTACAAAAAATAAATTACTATTATTATTGCTCAGAAAACATTGAGAAAAAAAAAAAAAGTTATATCAATAACTTGTTGAAATAACTAAGGTAAACGACCGCATTAGTGGCCCCTTTAACCCCTATTAGTGGCACTTTTTCTTTCAATGATAAAATGTTCTACTTGGAATAAAAATAAAAATTAAAAATTTTTGAGAGTAGAACTTGTAGTATTGACAGAGTTTTAGTTAATTAATATTTGTTATTTATTAGTTAATGTTTATCAATTTAAACACGAATAAATGAATTTGGAATATGATGTGAATAAGTTCAGGTTGTTAGCCTGCCTCGATTCATTTGACATGTTTTTAACAATTGATGTTTGATAATTGAGCACCTGAAGAAGTCGGGAAACCGATGAAACGTTGTGAAAATTTAACATAAACATCGAATAAATATTTCCAATAAACTGTGAACCTATTATTTTATTAAAAATTTTTTTGATCCAAAAGTCTTGAAGATTAGAAATAATATATTCATTACTAAAATTAATCATTTCATTAATTTAATAAGTACCAAAATTAAATAATGGGGTCTTTTACCCTACAAGTGAAATTGAAAAAAAAAAATTTTTTTTTATAATGATTCATTTGGTATCGAAAATCCTAGAAATCATCAGATGTCAGCTAATTTCAGTATCATAATTTTAAAAAAATTTTTTCTTAGTATTTAATTTACAATAAAAATAAAATTAAAAAATTGTCTGATATCTGATAGTTTCAATATAATATCTTCAATTGTTGTTATTCAACTCACAAATTTATTCAAGGCGTAGTTGGAGAGTTAAAATTTCTTAAAATAAATTTAGTACATTCCAACTGTAAATCAAAATAATTATTTTTTAGTAAAAATATCTAAAAACTACGCATATAGTTTATAAATAGTTCATTAGTTTATATATAGTTTTCCATACCAGTCACCATGTATCTCTACATAATAATATAAACACTCTTATTCTTATTATTATTTACGTTCAAAAGAAATCCACAACAAACTAGCGCCATCAATCGGCTTCTTTGGAAACTTATTTTTAAATTATTTCTCAACTGTTACGGATGTAAACAAATACTTGAGTGTACAAAACAAAACTGATAATAATATTATTCTGTACTATAAATAATTTAGTGGTGATTATTATTGAAAAGAATAATTTTAGGATAAATATTAAAAAAATGTCTCAACACGGAGCGGCTTTGCAAACTTATAATCAAGAACTTGTCAAATGTAAGTACTTGATAACCTTGTTATTTATTTTTTTCCTTATTGTTGTGAGAATATTTTATTTGATAAATATTTGGATTATTTGTTAATTTATTAAAATTTTACTCAGGTTTAGAAGATGTTAAATCCAAAAAGGCAATGATACAAGCAGAAATAGATGTTGAGGAAGAAGAGCAACATAACCTAGAACGGGAGATTAAAAAATTGCATTACAAATTAGCGCAAGTAACTGATAGTCTAAACAAAAAAATTTTAATAAGAAATGAATATAATAGAATAATTACAGATACGGAAGCACATTATATGAAGGTAATTATTTTTAAATACATTGACAACTCTAGACGATCAAGTTTATTTTTAATTTCAAAGTGATTTAAGATGTGAATAATTAGAAATGTAAAAAAGATTTTATTTAAAAGCGGATTAATAATTTTACACTAACATTTTTTATAATACTAAAGTTAGCCGACGTTTTTAATTTTTTTTTTAATAATTAAATTAGAACAAAAAAAAATATTAAAAAAAAAATTGCACTTACAGTTTTTTTCAAATGAAAATTTTTTTTTATTTTTTTGTAATCATTTTTTTAATGAAAAAAAAATTTTTTTTCTAATTTAATTAACTTAATTTTCATACATTTTTTATGGTGCTGAATTTGAGAGATATCTGAAAATTTTTTTAACAAATAAATTATAACAAAAAAAAAATTTTCATTTTTATTAGAAGCTTTAATAAATTATGAATGCAATTTTTTAAAAATAATTTTGTAAACACAGTCCATTTTTTAAGAAAAATCAATAAATTGTCAAAGTTTGCTATTTTAATATCATAAATTTTTTGCAGTTTTTAAATGAAAATTCTGATTCAAAGGTTATTTTTTTATGAGGATAAACTGTCATTAATTAAAAAAAATTTTTTTTTTACATTTCTAGCTACTTTAAGGATGTTAATAAATTGAACAAAGTAATTTTTTTTAAATAATTTATTTAAATATTAATAGTATTAAATATTTATATTTTTTTATTAGATTGTCGATAGCTCGCAAATGCTATTAGCTGTTGTACAACGAGAAACATCGTCATTAGATCAATCATTGGGAAAGTCTAAGCCAGAGAAGTCGCAATCACATCCTACATGGCTAACCGTACACCATCCATAATTTTACAATGATACATTAATCATTTCTCAATGATTCAAATTATTACTTATTGAACATTAATTTTATTTTTTTAAAGTGAGTACAAAAAATTGTAGATAACGTTTTTATATCATAAAAAATTTGCTATGTAGGGTTGTAAAAAATATATTTAAACTCATTTTTACATCAACATATCATTAGATTAGCTCGTAATTTTTCACCGACTGATTATTTAGAAAATTAAGTCTGATATTTTGATCTATTACACTAAAGTATTGCTATTTCTATTTTATTATTGAAAATACATCGATGATTTTGATATTTCTAATTACAATGCGATATTTAGTTGCATATAATAAATACTAATTACAAAACTATTTTAATATCGCTTGGTCATTATATCTATATCTATTTATTTTATTGGAGTTAGTTGTATAAAAATGACATTCATCACAGGATAGTTTTAAAATTGCTTTTGTTTATACTTACAAAATTCATACTTAACATATTTTTTTAATAAAAATGAATAAGTAATAAATAAATTTTATTGTACTAACTATCAAAGGAGATCCTTTTATTAAAATAATTTTCAAAAATTTTTCTAAATAAATTTCTAAATTTTATTTCTTAACACATTTATCGATGTTATTAATGAGAATTTATTTTCAGTTGCAATAAATTTTTTAATAGCATATATACTTTAGTGATAAGTATTGTAAGATATCTGGTATATCTTAATGAAGTAAAGAGAATTAATAATTGCTTTTTATTAACAAATTTAATTTTAGTTTTGATTATAAAAACAATCAAGCTAGAAGTAATGAAGATACTCAAACTTTTTTTTCTAAACTTTGTTATTGGCCCTTTGGGATGTTGGGTTTAAATAAAGGCAATAAATAAATAAATAAACAGTTTTTTAAATTTAAGCAAAAAAAATTTTTTTTTTTAAATATATCACTTTAATAAAATCATCAAAGCATATGGGTGATTCTCTGTAAGGATGTTTTTTGCTGTCCCAGGCATTTTTTTTATTAGAAAAATTGTTATTATGTTACTAAAAAAAATTTATTACGAAAGTAAAAAAACATTTCTATTTAGAGCATTGAAAACTAAAATGAAATAAATTTTGGTTTTTTTGCTATAAATTCGTAAACCACCGAAATATCAATCCCCTGGGCTGTCCCATTCCCAAAATTAAAACTTTAAGATTAAATTTTAAGTTATTCGTCAATAATATATAATTTGGTCTGTAATGTTTATAAACTTAATTAGTTAACTTACAATCTTCTTCAATAAAAAGTACCGAAAATTAATTTGTTTCATTAAATTCATTAAACCAAAGTTTGTCTCAGGCATTTCAAGATCCAGCGTGTTATTTTACCTTTTGTAAGGTTTATAAGGATCTAACTAGCCTTGAGTTAATAACCATAGGGCTGTTAGCGCTTTATCGCCATTTTATTTAGTGTCAAAGCACCGTTTGTGCTGGAAATATGTGTCTGGGCCACTTCAAAACTCGGCCCCCTGGCAGCTATTTTTATTTATGATTTATTTATAAAATTGGATTCATAAGTCTTAATATTATTCTAATTAATGTAAACATTCATTGAGAACTTGAAAAGTTGAAAGCATTGAAATAGTTTGCTTGATTTTTCTCAATTTGATAAAAAAAAACAATCCCCTGGCAAGCAGTCCCCTGTCATGTTATATGATAAAAGATACACAAATATCGAAAAACCAAAAATTAATTCGGCTGTTTATTTATTATGATTAAGCTGATAGTTTTGTAGCCCTTATTAATTTTTTTTCTAATAAAATCAAAAATAATTTGGTCGGACAATTTTGTACAGATTTAAGACGTTCTTACAGAGAATCACCCATATAAATGTAAAAAAAAAAAAAAAAAAGATTTTTCTAAATAAAAGTGGAGTTCATTAAAATCAGATAACAAACAGCTAAATTTTGAGAAGCTTATGATAAATGATAATTGATTTAGTGACTTAAAAAATTAAGCATTTCCTAATGATTTTTGTTCATTCCACACTTGCATTAATTCACCAGGATCACCGTAACCATGTGACGTAATAACATATTTATAATTATATTTAGTGTATTCCTTTTTATAGAAATGAAATTCATCACAATGAAAAGGTTCAATACCAGCCTTTTTAGCAACTAAACCTAAATAAATATCATCAAATCTAAAATGCTTAGTATAATAACTCGTGTAATACATATCAATGAGTGCCTCTTTAGATAATATATAAGCACCCGCAGTAACATATGGCGGCCACATATCATATTTGTACTCGTCTAATGAGACATACCATTTAGATGATTTGTAACGGTGTGGTGATGATACAAATACGTAACCAGCGAATAGTATTACGTCACTTGGTAATTCAAAATCAAATACTTGTCTACGATTTCTAATTAAATTTCTATTACTATTATTATTACTGTTATTATCATTACTACTTATATTAATTAGAGTATCATTTAATTTATATTGATGCCTTTGATAATTGGTATTGGTTTCGTTGGTAGTATCATTGAAATTATTATTATTATTTGGCAAACGATAGTTATAATTTGGCACATAGGATTCACTAATTTCACGTTTGCGTGGTCCACCCAATCTACTAGGATCTTGTAAATAATCTGGATAAGAAGTTGGGTTCCTTATAAATCTCAATACATTTTTAACAGATACATAAATATCATCATCAACAAACATATAAAATTTTGAGTTTGAACAATAATTAACTGCCCATTTTAAACCCATCATTGTCTTTATTGTATTGTTATAGTATGTGTCAATATAATTGGCTTGAACAATGTCTTTATATTTTTTTATTTCTTCGTCTAACTTTAATTGCAACAGCTTATCAATATTTGGATTAATACCCAATAGAAATACCGTGCGTGTTGGTACGTCGAAGAAACGTTTTTTGTGACCCCATGAATTTCTTATTGCACTACGACGGTCAAAATGATCGATTGCCGATTTGACTATAAATATTATTCTTAATGTATGATAATCATTGTCAACACAATGTTCTTTAATGTCACTAATATAAGTGTAATTGTAGTAATTTATTGGAGTGATTTCTGGATTCTTGTTGTGCTTTAAAGCTTCTACTGATAATGATACATCACCATCGTACGGATATGAAAAGTTATCTTCGAACGATACTTCAAAAATGTGAGTAAATAATCCGAAAAATTGTGATGTCATAAGTGTTATAAATAATATGCTTACATGTTTAAATTTTATTTTAAATATTGTTCGTTTGAATACTGGAAATAATCGTTCCATAAGACAGAACATTTTGCTTCTTTGTTTAATTATTTTTTCGCAGTTTTTATCACATGTTTGTAGTTCTATTAATTATTCCACCATCTGAAAGTAAAAAAAATATTTTATTAATTATGAAAATTAATTAATTTAGCAGATATTTAATAATTTTTAGAACTTTTGCTAACAAATAAATTACGGCAGAAAAAATAAGAAAAAAAAATTGACATTTAGAAATTTTAAAAAATTTTAAATGCAATTTTTTTAATTTAATTTTTTAGAATTAATTTCATTGTTAAATAAAATAAAAAATTTTTCAAGTGACAGCTAACTTTAATGTCATTTATTAATTTAGCTTCTATCAACTTTTTGGATTTTTATATCAACTTAATTATTATAAAAAAATTTCGCTTGTAGAAAATTGAAAAAACTACAAGTATAAATTATTTAAAAATATTTTCTTTTATAATTTATTTGCAATAATAATAAAAAAAAAATGTCAGATATCTGCTGAGTTCAGTATCATATATTTACAATGATATTTTGGTACATAATTAACAAAGGATCATTTTTTTTACTGACCAATTACTTTAAAAAAATTCTTTCCATAAACTTTTTTTTCTAAAATTTAACTTTGAATCATATGATCTTAAAATTAAATAAAATTTTATTATAAAAATCGTAAAATTTTGACAATTTAAAACCAATTAATATAATTTTCAATAAAAAATATATATAATTATTAACGTAAAAATTATAGTCAAGTCCATCGAATGAATTAAATGTATTGATTAAATTGTCATACGTAAAAAAAAAAATTAATAATTATAATTGGAATATTAATAAGTGAAGAATAATAACGTTTTAATAACTCTAAATGTACTTTTTTTATTAAATTATTTATAACAAAAATAAATATTTATATTTTCAATAAAGTAAATTTAAAAAAAAACTTCTAAAAACAAAAAATCAATTTACTAACCATGAAAAATGTGACGTCAAATTAAGCAAACACGTGTAATTTTTGACATAACCATAATAAACATCTAACTAAATTTATTTTAAATTTAAAGTGAGATTATTTTTAATCTTTGATGTAACTTAACCTGACGAAAATAAAAAGTAAACTTTAGCGCATCAAAGGCGTCTAGAAACCCTAGAAACTAAAAAACAGAGCAAAAAAATCTTTCAATCTCGAAACATCACCATAGAGTGGTGTCATCTTTTAGTGGGTCACAAACTAATAACATAGTCAAAGAAATTACTTTTAAAATGATCTAATTATTTGTAAAAGACAATTGATCAATTATAAGTATAGAAAAGTATCTAAAAAAAATTATATAACAAATTCGAGGTAATTAAAGAGCGCATTATTTGATTGACGAAAAGTTCAACGACCTTGGGGTAATTGTGACATACAAGTCACCGGCCATGTTTATAACAAACTGTATTTTAGCCAGTGACGATAGTTTATATATACTAAATACAAAGTGTATTTATTAAATTAGTGGTAAATATATATTGAAAAATAACAAATAATTAATTGATTGTGGTCGTTGTAACAATATATTTTAAAATGGAAACAAGTGATAGAGGTAAGTAATACAGGAATAATATTTAAAATGTAACAATATGTAGCTCTGACACAAATCATGACTGAGGGCAATGGCAGTGTCAGGGTCGAAACATAACTAGTTCACTGACCGCATTAGTAACTATTATTTTTTTATTTTACTCATTTTTATTACCCATTAATGACTAATAAATCCATTTTCTTAATTACTTCCCATTTTGGAGATTTAATTTATTATTTAATGTATTTGTTGTCATGATCGTTATCATGCATTCTACTCTTTCTTTGACTAGATGTCATTATTTCACTTATTCTATCATAAGAATAGTGCATACATTTATTTATTTATTTTCTTTTTGTTTATAATTATTTACAATTGTTTCTGTTAAAAATGTCATTGAGAATTAATTGTTGAAATTTTTATTTTTTTTTTCATTTAATCAATCAATCGTTTGATTTGTCTATAGGTTATTTAATTTTTTACAAGCTATCAGAGGTTAGAAAATCTATAAAAATGTGTTTTAGTTTTTCATCAGAAAATTGTTTAAGAAATATGAGTAAGTACGTAGAGACACCTGGTGACGGCTTTCTTTAGCTGTCAAACAAATAGAATGGTAAAAAGTTATTTTCGTTTATAAATTTTTTTAACTAATAAATTATAGCTAGAAAAATTTATTTAAAAAATTCCATCTTTAGATGCTTAAAAAAATAATTATAAATGCAATTTTTTATTAATAATTTTCTAGATTTAATTTGCTATTCAAAAGAATCCCAAAAATGTCAATTTCAATGTCATAAAAATGTTATGATACTAAAGTTAGCCGACATTTATAATTTTTTAATTTTTTTTTTTATAATTAAATTAAAACAAAAAAATATTTTTAAAAAATTGCACTTACAGTTTTTAAAGTTTTTTTACAAGTGAAATTTTTTTTTTTTATTTTTTTGTAATCATTTTTTCAATAAAAAAAAATTCTAAAAATTTTTAAATGTCGGCTAACTTAATTTTCATAAAATGTTATGAAAATAAAGTTAGCCGACATCTTAAAATTTTTTTTATTAAAAAATTATTACAAAAAAATTAAAAAAATTTTTTTTCATTTGTTAAAAACTTCAAAAACTATAAGTGCAATTTTTTAAAAATATTTTTTAGTTATGATTTAATAACTTAAGCAAAATAAAAAAATCAAAAATGTCGGCTAACTTTATTATTATAAAAATGTTTATGATTTTTTTTTACTGACACATTTATAAAATTTACTATTTTATAGTATAGAAATTTGATGTATGACTTATTATTCAAAAATATTTGTCTTAATACAAATATGTCATAAGTCATAATTGAAAAAATATTTTTAAAATAAAAAATAATTTAGTTAATAAAAGAAAATCAAGATCAATTAGAAACTAGAATTTATTTGACTGAAGTTATATGTCAAATGTCAAATAAAATCTTATGAGCCACATGTCGGTAGAATGTTTTTTTAAATAAATTTTGTTGATTTAGCGTTGAAAAACAATCAAAGATGCTTGAAGTATGGCTCATAAAATTTGAGAAGATGTCAGTGCCTCGTTAACTATATTTTGAATATAATAGATATTTTGGATTATTGCGACATGTTAGTTTTCACTTGAAAAACTATGAGTATATTTGTAAAGAGGAAATGATCTATTATTAGAAAGATCTTGACAACTTGATTATATTTCATTTAATAAAGTTCATTTATAAATAATCCAAATATGTTGAATTATTTAACGAATTAATTATTTAAGGATTTAACGAATTTAGCTAAATCATAAAATAATATGACATAGGTATATTGTTAAAAAATATAAAAAATGAGAAATAATAAAGTTTAATTCGTTTCTCACCATCAATTGAAGAAAAAAAATATTTTTTGCTGTGAAATACATTATGAATTATAAATAATTTTTTTATTTTACTTACAATCAGACGACCTCAGTAACTTTGGCCTGTCAAGGTAACATTGCTAGTCTCTAAAAATAAATTTTAGACATTACTTAAATACTTTTATTCGTACACGTTATTAGTCAAATAAAATCCAAATACGCGATTCGATTTGTTCAATTTAAAATTTACTTACTAATCAAATTAATTTTTGCTGTAAGATACCTTCTCAATAAATTAAAAAAAAAAATTCGATAATAAGAGAATCATTTTTGTGAAAAGTTTCATCAGAATATTAATTAAATTTTATTCCTTATCCCACGAAATAATTTATTCTATGCATAATTAATATGTACAATAAATGATCTAGTTTTTAAAGTAAAAATATTATTTAGGTCACTTTTAAATTATTCATACCCTCTAGAAATTTTTTATTGAATTTTCATTTCAAATTAAATTATATAATCATTTTTTTACGAGTTTTCAAACTTTAATAAAAACAAAAGTTTACGTTAACTACATGATTTTTAAATTCGGCAAATTTTTTTAATTATTTAATTTTTTAACATCAGTACTCTTTGTAAGCACTCATGTTTTATCAGTGGAAATATACGAATTACTCAAGTAAACTAATTGGTATGAGAGTAAACTAAAAAAAAGTCGTTACAACATTAAAAGTAATCATTCTCGTATGCAGATTTAATAAGTATCTTTATAAAAAGTTTAAATTATTACCCAGGAAAGTTTACTTAAAATTTTTTGCTGGTCACTTTATACATGTACAACTTTTGTTATATAACCCCAAGGTCAAATCTTTCTTCAGTATTTAAAATTTTTACTCTGCTATATTTACCATCAATTCCCTTTTATTTTATTCTTCACATTACAGATAAATATGTCTTGATATTAAATAACACTTTCAACTCAATTAACAATACTTAATTATAATTAACTTCATGAATTTGTATACTTATCTTTTTTCTTTAAAGAGTTTAATTTTTTTAAATTTATTCATATTGCTATTCTCACTAAAATCTTTGAATTATTCAAACTATTTTCAGTCGATAAATAAACATTTTTAGAGTTGAACTTTGATAACCAATTCAGTCAACGTTGACAATAATTTAACCAAAGTTCGAGAGTTATATTATTATTTTATCGGATGAGGTATTCTCGTACGTCTGTAAGCGATTCTTGTTTGATAGCAAATCAAGTAATATTTCAGCATAGCTGAATAATACACCATTTATATTTTTTAGCTCAAGTTTGTCAGACAATTTTTAGTCTAAAATTAAAAAAAAATCTCACCTCAGCATAATAGAATCGATATAATCCAAAAATACCATTACCATGAATATTGTAATCATTAACCTAGATTGAATCTCGTGTTAAGGATTAACATTTACGCTGATTTGTATTTTTTTTATTTCCATAATTCAATGCAAACTCGGCTCTGAT